ATACTCCTGAGATATTTGGGAAGGAAAGTCTGCATTTTGGATAATTGGTCTACTAATGCTAACACCTCTATTTGAATTTCCACTGGGTAAGAAATACTATATTACCTTATAAGTATTTTCAAAATAGGGAGAAATTGCGGACAAATTATGATGAAAAATAATTTTTAAACAATTGTCTACAAAACAAAAATTCTGACTTGCGTAGTAATGTGTGACAGCTTGAGTCAATGATATAATTTAGTTTTGACAATTTCAACCTGTTTCAATTTGATTTCCCAGAAATATTTCACTGTTTATACCCTAAGTTATATTTTGAACAGCAAATTACTTTGACCTGAAATGGAACCAGTTTATGAAGAGGAAAACAGCATGTCATATTTTAATATATATTTTACATTAGAAATATTGCTTGATTGGAATGAGTATTATTCTGTAGTTTTTTTCAGATTAAAAACAGCAACAAACAACAATTCTCAATTCCTTGTATTGTCCTCTATTCCTTATACTATGAGGGAGCCAAAGGCAGTCACTAGGAACAAGGGCCTGCCTGCCTAATTTTCAAATGTTGCAACAGATACTTTTAAGTTCAGCTATGAGGAAGTCTTACTTTTCCTTCTGCGATGATCCTTGCTGTGCCATCTGTAACAATTCAAAAAAAATGCAGCAAGTGAAGATAAAGTTCCTTCACTTTTTGGGCACATTACCCTTTCTGCATCATCTAAATGTTGTCATTCTGTGCTGTCTGACAGCACCATCTGGTTCAGAATATAATATCTCAGATCTGGCCATTTCTAGAGCTAGATGTGCTACCACCATATATAACGTGAGTCGCTTTTGCCTTTGTACTAAATCTTCTGAAATTATAATGCTGATGCGGCATCTTCAGATGATCCAAAACCCCAGACTGTTTAAACAGAAGCAATGAATAATTCACATCAGAAACAGAGAAAAGCAAACAAACAAAAGTCAATGGGCATCTCCTGCTTAGCTGGGAAAGAAGGGGATACACAGTATGCTCTGCTGTCATTGTCAGAGAGTACAGAATAACCTTTGCCACGTGAGGAGAACTCTTTTGGAGCTCTGCTGGCAGTGGCAGAGCATTTAGAGGACCACTGGCTCCATATTACCCCTCCCTAATATGTCAACCAGGAATGAACTATAGTACACAAAGCTCTCTCTCTACAGGTACAGTCTTCTGGGAAACATAACCACTGGATATAAAGCCAGTAGTTTTGTGTAGCATTGCACAGTGTATTTTGGACTGGGGAAATCTTATCTAGCTTCTTAATTAGGAAAAAAAAGGATAATACTCATAATAGTTATTCTTCCATTAACAGGTAGGAAAATTTTGCTCTGGAAGATGTATGGAGAAATTCAGTGGAACACTCAAACAGCCTTGCCCCACTTTCTGACAAAAACCATTCATAAATCTGATTTTATGTGGCGGTAGCAATAAGCTTCTGACTGCTTTATCTCATTAGAGTTGTGGGAAGAAATTGGAATATGTCTCTAGCCTGGCAAACTAGTCCCTCTACCTGTAAATTATTAAACCTTATGTGTGTCAGGTGTGCTCAGAAAGGAATGAGCCAAGGAGCAGAGAGAAGTTGCAGTGTTAGGTGCAGAAACCAGAAAAGAGATCAGAGGAAGAAAATCATATTTTGTTTTGCTTTAGCTTTACCTGCTTTTTAGGAAGCATGGAATAAAAGAACTGCTTTTTAGAGGTGATGGTAACACGGGGAGATAATTCATTGAGTGCACAGTCAGTGGAGGGAAATGTGTGCTGACTAATATGGGCATTGGTTTTTGAGAAATGTTTATACATAGGAAATAATGCTCAGTCCTAAGATATCAATTTTTCATTGTATTGGAAATAAAAAAGAGATGCACACCAGAACCAGAAAATATAGGGATTTGGATCACATGATCTAGATTTATGTGCATAAATACTGGTTCTGCTGGTACAGTGGATGTGCATCATCAATAAGTTTTTCCACAGTATTTCTGAATCCTAATAGGTCCTCCTACAATAAATCTCTTCACTGGTATCGTACACTACTGTGAGTTGCAGGGTCTCTAACACACACCTGGTTTTTTGGAGGTGCCTAATTGACCCTGGCACTTCCATGCATCATGGAACACTGGGAACAACTCTCCTGTGGGTTTTATTTGAAATTATTTTAGGCAACCAAAGTCTGACTCCAGGTTACTCCTTTCGCTGCATTTTTTTCAGGTTGACTGAGCACATGCTTTAGTACACAGTGAGTGAGGAGAAAAATAATAATCAAACAGTTAAGCAAAAATGGAAGCAGTTAAATATAAAAGATCTGAATAACAGCAGTGTATGAGAAAAATGAAACAAATGTAGGCATCAGATGTAAAATTGAATTGCACGCACTGGACAGTGAAGGGCCTGGATTGTGACTGTGTCATATTAGAAGTCTGAAAATGTATGTGCCCTTACATTGTTATCTTAAAGGTACTCCAGAACAAAGGCAGTCATCTAGGAAGATATTAGTCTCTATAGCATAATATCAGAGATGTAGCCATTAAGTGCCATTGGGAGTAGTACTGTTGCTCCTAGGAAGGGTGTCATTACTGCCCATAGATAAAAGAGTAAAAATCTCATTTTATCTTCTTCATGGTGCTATTCAGCAATCAGTTTCTTTTCTACTTCAAAAATCTGGATTAAATGAGGCACAGCTGGAGGACAGAATGAAGGGAATGACTGCTCTGAAGCTTTAGGGAAGAGGCATGGAAGAGGCAGCTTGAGACTCACACTGCTCCAGAGGATGCAGTTAGATGGCCTAGTTTCTGGCAGAAAATTGAGAGTATTTGTATTACATATACATCACCACAATGTGTCAGCTCAAGTCTGAAGCTCTATGGTCTGACCAAGAATTCATTTGCTACACTTTCACATGCTTGTTGTTCACTGAAACAATAAAAAACCAACAAACTCCTGCCATTATAAAACTTTCATTGATATAACAAATATAGAAATATTCTTTTAATATACCAGCATGCAATGATTTGTAGCAATATGTTACAGGATGACTGACCAGTGGCAGAGTGAACTCTAGCTGTGTGATTAATTCCAGACATTAAATCCTTATAGCTCTCCTGTATCCTCAAATCCAACCCCCATGCTTTCCACATTGCTCGCTAGACACAGAAAATAACATGATCAGTTTGGAAGTTCAGTCTCGCCTGCAGGCAAGAACTTGTCCCGTCATAGCAGAAACAAAAGCAGCACAGCAGGACCTTCACTATCAGGAACAGCAACAGGAATTGTCCTCATGGAACAACAGCTCTCTTATGTATGAGCTTAAACGAGGATATTTCATTTCTATGAATGCCATTCTCAACAATGTGTATACCAACCTAGATATATAATGAGCATAATCATTCCCTGCAACTAATGAGACATATATTTCCACAGAAAATATTCCCAATTTGGAAGCATTTTATGTAGTCACTATGACTAACAGGGAAGAAAAAAGAGGAAGCTGCACTGTTTTTTTCCAAATCATCATTCTGATTACTTAACTAACACTTCTAACATGTATAACATGTAAAGGAGTTCCTTGCGTGGTAGTGGACACTGTTGCTTAGGCAAGGATCCGGGACTCTGCATCTGTGCTACCCTTTCCTGTGCTCTCCACCCCACCCCAGCTATTATTTGCAAAGATAAATATTCCAGTCCAAATTAAAAATAAAAAAAACTCCCCCACCATTTGTCAGTAAACTACATTTACACTGGTGGCATCTGGCTACCAGTGACTGGATGCTTTATAAATATAGAGATAGATGAATTAACTAGATTAAATAGATAGATGTAGGATGTTTGGGCTGAAGAGCCATGAACTCTTACTTAAGGGATTTCTCCTACAAATTCTTCTGTACCAGATTACTTTGTAATAATGGTTTATAGCTATCCAGGCTCTAAATCAAAGAACTATTGGCTTGCATGAAGGATGAGGCATGAATCATATTGTGTTATATAGAAACACATAATACCCAGTTGTTCATTTTTTAATTTGCTACATGAGGAAAAAAAAAATTCCCTCCTTGACTTAACTCTGCAATGAATTGCAAAATGGCAGGAAGAAATATAAAGATCTTTAGTCTTTGGCATTAAATAGGCTTTAAGGTCTTCTTGAAGAACCATTAGTACCCGCAGGCTACATGCTGCCTCAGTGGGATTCTGGTGCACTGATTTGCTATATCACACTCAAGTGCAGTAACCCTTATGTATCTTAAATGCAGCAGCCACACAGTAGGCAGTGGCATGAGCTGATCTGAGCCCAGTTGTATAAAAAGAGAATACCAGAGGAGTCAGCTCAGAAACCACAGTTTTATGTATAGCAAAGGCCCATATGCTGCTTGAAGCAACTACTTTCATGAATTCAAAACTGATAGCATTCTAAACACAAAGAGTAGGGAAAAAACCCAGTTGTGGAGAAGTAACAAAAAAGCCCAGGCATGAGATCATTGCATGGAATGTAATGAACTTGTGGCACTTAAAGACATTGCTGTGTTGTCTTGACAATGCTGAGTTAATGTTAGGACCCAATGGTATTAGAGGTCCTTTCCAACCTGAGTGGTGTTGTGATTCTCTGGTTCTCTGAATATTTGTGTAATGTTGTGGAATATTTGATGTTCATTCCTCCTTCGTTCTTTCTGTGACAAGCATAGATTTGGCAGGTTTTGGGCTTCTGCATTCTATATTTGGGGGTAGGGTGCTGTGAATCTTTGGTGATTCACAGTCTGATGCTGCACACTTGTGTGAGGGTGAGGACAAGCTTCCATGTGAGGACAGGGGTGGCCAACGTCACCCTCAGGTCACGTCACAGCATTGTGCTCAATCCTTGTCCAATTGCCAGATTGTCCTATACCCACCCCTCTTTTGCTGTCATGTAGGCAAGTTTTTCCCTCAGCTTGTGCTCATAACCTAACCAACGCAGGTGTTTTGATATTAACTGTATTTTGTACTTCCCCAGACAGAAACAATGCTCAAGGAAGTGTCTCGTTTGTGGAACCCAAAGTTTGCCTCGACCCAGTGCTTTTGTGGACCCCGGGTAAGGATTTCTCTGTAATATAGGCATAACTAGCTGGAGCTGCTAGGACATAATGTGTGAATGAAGCACAGTTTAGTTTATTATATAGGGCCTACAAAGTTTTCCCCATAAAATTACTGTATTTTTAAATTAATATTTACAATGAAATGGATCTCTCTCCTTGAAGTAGACTTTGTTAATTCTTTCCTCCATTATTCTCAGATTAAAAGTATGCTGACTATTGAAGAAATGATTAATTGCTTTCATCAAACAGTTAAGAATTTTTGCTTCTTTCCTTATCTCAACCTTCATATATGGGGTCCAAATTTTTAGAATAAGCTTTTAATTTGTGAATTTGTGTTATTTACATTGGTATATTTTGGACATGCAATCCTTTATTCAGTAAAGCCTCTTAAAGAACATTGCAATTAAGCACCATAATAGTCTTAAACCCACAAAATTAGCAATATGCAATTAATAGGATGAGCTGTCACTCATTATTGAAAGCTTAATATGTAGCAAAGCAGCCAAAAAAAGAATATGATGGTGTTAAACTGTTGACACTATGCTGGTAACCTAGGTGATAGAGTTAGGCACAAAACCTGCACTTTACAAGGATACTGGGGATGACTCCACCATTTGCTGTGTAGACCCACATCGTGTCCAAAAGACAGCAAACTGGCTTCTATTCCCTTTTACTTAAATGCTAACTTGGAATGGTATTATGTGAATGTTGTAATGGTGCTGATAAATGTAGTTTCCACATGCTTTGAGAACACCCACCTACTCTTTCACTTATGACCTTAGTTGGCCATGGTAAATGCACTGGGAGACATCTTCAAAAGTGAGTGAGATTAAATAATCTAACTGAAAAATGCTGCTAAAATTTGAGATGGCTGACATAATTGCCATATTTTTAGGGGTATAAATTTCACCCAATTCACTTAGGCTTGTGGGATTTATTTTGCTTTTATTCCTCACCTTGTTTCCCTTTTAATATATGCATAATCAGTCTGTATGATCAAAACACTGTTGCTCTGGAAGATTAGTCAAAGCATACAGTAGAGTTATGTACTAGATATACATAGGTTTGAAATGTGTTCCTCCTCGAGGAAAACATTTTCATCAGTTCTTCTGTATTTCTCCTATATTTCTCATTGACTTTAAAAGAAAGTGTCACATAATATGTTATATATTTTCTGTTCTGTTAGTAAGATTTTGATATGATACTTACTGGTATTTTTTAAAATTTATTTTAAATATGGCATTAAAATTCAGAAATTATATTTCAAAAGGAACATAAATTCCACAGAAAGGACAGATTTACAGAATTTTAAAGCAAATTTCAAAAGCCAGCTGTCATCATACCATCCGTTGCAATGAGTATAAATAACTTCCTTTTAATATATGAAGCACTGGGAGGAGAAAAGAAAAAGATATATGCATAGCAGGAAAACTCCACGTGCTCCTAGAGTTATTTGGGAAAGTTTCCAGTTCACAATATGGAAATACTGCCACTCAGGCCAGAAAGCTTGTTGCTATGGGGACACAATAACAGAATCATTTGACAAGTTGGCAGTTGTTAGAGTTGGCAGAGAGAACTCTGGGAGAGTTGGATGATTTCAGGTGGGTGTGCACTGGGGATGGATGGGTGGCCAGGAGGAAAACAGACTGAGAAATTCTTTCAATCTTTCAATCTATCCTTTATGTTGGAGTGAGATTTTGTTAGTTTTGCTTTTTTTTAAAATTTTTTTGTTTTTGTTTTTGTGTTGATTTTTTTTGTGTCCCTACTTAGAAGCTTAACATCTTTGAAAAAAGGAAGGAGAGAAGACCCATATTCAGACATCAGCTAGCTATGCATTCACCCTAGGATGAATATATATTGAAGTGCAAAAAAATTATGCGAGAGCTGGCAAAGAGATAAGGCTGCATAAAAAGCCAATATGATTTTGGCTCTTCCCTCTGAGGAGTCATATCATAAACCAAGAAGATTATAGTTCCTCTGTAGTTCAGATGTGATGGTAGTTGGAATATTATAGTAGCTGCAGTACATGGAGAGTCAGAGATTAACTAGGAAGAATTTAAAAACAGGTAGCAGTAATTATCGAAAACTGGAGGCTGGTTTATAAAGATGAAAGAACTAACGTTGTTTAAGTTGGCTGAATGTCAGATAAGATGCATTCACTAGTTCGCTAATATTTCAAGAGTCTGAACATCAAAGCAGTCAAGGAAATATTTAGTTGAATAATAGTATTCTTGGAAGAAATTGGGGTGGAACTGAGGAAAATAAAAAACATATTAGATATAAGGGAAGGAATCCTACTGCTGAGTCTATTACATTAAAGAATGGTCACAGTTTCTGAGGAACAATATTAGACACTTGGAAAGTCCCAATTGATGCTGGAAAATGCATGGAAAATGTACATTAGGCAGAAGTTTTAGTATTGTATTGCAGCTGAGAAATGTATGAATCCTATTTCTTTTAATGGGAGGAAGTGAGAAAAATCTGGTGACTTTTTGGGGTGCTTTTCTAGATGAAATGAGAGACAGCAAGGACTGAAAAATCATTCTGTGGCAGTTCATGAGGAATTGGTAATGTGTCATATTTGAGTGATGAACTTACATCAAAAAAACTCTCAGTTACAATGCTCCAAGAGAATCTAAGGAGAGAAACAATGTCTTAACTCAGCCATAGATAAGGAACAGTGAAGTTTCCTAAGCTTCATTGTTGTCTAAATATGTTGAAGATTGTGTAATTATATCATTTAGGGTATTTGGGAAAGTTTTCTGTTCTGTAACAGTTTTTCAGGGGAATACTGTCTCTACTGTCTGCACTAGAACAAAGAAAGTGATGAATGTTTTCTGTGCTTTTATGGCACAATATAAATATCAGATGTGTTCATAGATTTTAATCCCTTCCTACGGGCACACTGCCTCTGTTTCTTTTCTGTTCTCTTATGATCATGCCACCCAGACTGCTCCCTTTCCCTGTGCAAATCAAAATCAATTAAAAATATCCCCACAGGACTCAATTTTCAGAGAACTTCTATATCCACACCTCTAATGGAAGTCAATGATAGCTGCAGGCATGTGGCATCTCTGAAACTCAGGCTCTACAGAGCTAAGTAAAGAAAAACATATGGATTTTTTAGGTAATATACCATGGGAGAAATCTCTAAATAGGCCCTGAAATAATGAAGCTACATGTTTTATACTATAGTCCAACTTGCAATCACTAGGCCCTCTCACCACAGGGGAAAAAGAGGATATTGAGAGTTATTGAACATTGCCAATTTTTGCTGTGGATCAGCTTGAAGTTATTTAGCACAGATGTTTCTGTAATTGTGACACACTGGGAAAATCCACATGCTCAATAGCCCTCAAACTTGCACTTCCATCTGTGCAGTATGATGGTCTACAGTTACTGCACACAGCTGCAATATAAAGCACACAGAGTTCTGTCTGGCTTAAGATCTGCTGAAAGACTTTTCCTAGCACCATCTGTACCTTTTGTCTACCTGTCTCCCTATGGTTCTGTGTTTAGATGCAGTACAGTTATAAGACAGTAAAATATAAGCCTAGTGAAAATAAAAATGTGTAAAGAACTGTACAAAATTTAACAGTGTGGTTAGAAACCTCTCATGATGTGAAATTATGATAGGAATTTAACAGTAAACTGTGAAATCCATCAGTATTTCTATTTATATTAAGTCGGTTTTGAACTATATTAGTAACAACTGAAAGATAAGATTCTTATACTAGAAAAAGAGCATGGTTTAACCCACAGTGGTGAAAATGATGCTTCTGGAAACTGTTTCCTCATCCCAATGCCTTCTTAGACTTTGATCACATTCCAAAAAGTACAGGGAAAAAACCCCACCTCTGCTGATTTAACAAACATTTTGGAATCAAAACAGTGTGTACCAATCTAGAAAATTAGAGAGGAAGACTTCCACTACCTTTGAAATTTAAATAGGCTTGAGTGTTAATTATTCATAACATATTTGTTCAGTTCAGGCTCAGGATACAAAGAAAAAAGAAGGTAATATTTCAAAATTTAGGCATATACAGCTCAGTGTGGGGAGACAGAAGCTGTTGTTGATATTATCCAGGCAGAGGGAAAACCTTTGCTGTCATATTATTTTTTCCCTATGTTGCTGCAGCTGTGGGTCTATTATGCATCCCTGTCTGAGGAGAAAGTGGGACTATTACTTCAGCCCTTGACTTTATAGTCCTAACAGGAGGGTGAACTTGTCATTTAACTTCTTCTCTGCAGAGAGCTGCTGCTCTTGTTCTGCAGCTCTTTCTTGCAATATCCTGATCCAAGTCACTTCTATAGCCGGTTATTGCATTGAGAAGCGTAGCAATTCCAACAAGAGGACACTGTAAAATGTTTCCCATCATGCAGCCATGCTAAATAATGCAAGAGAACTTCTGCATTCTCACATTTAACAGTAGCTCTTCAGACCTTGAGAGACTAAAGAAAACCATCTCACTTCTAAACCAGACTGTAATTTCATATGATTGTCTGGAATGTTCACAGAATTCAGTCCTGTAGAAACCTGGAATATTAATGACAGAGTTTTGACTTTTGCTAGAAATATCATGGGATCTGGAACTGTCAGAACCTCTTTTTTTATGTCTTCTTTTTTTCCCTTCTTGACTTCTGCTCTGGGAGCTTAATTTCATCATGTTCTGAAAGAAACAGCTAACTGTACATCAGTGCTGGAGAACCAGCATGTTTCTGGGATATGTTTTATCCAGCCCTTCCATCAAATTATTTTTGTTTATTTAGATTTATAGATGACAGAGTCATAGATAGATGCACAGTGTGTAGTCATCCAGCACTACTGCACATCTGTTATTGTATTTATGTAACATTTTCTTTCTCTCAAAAATAGAAAAGGCCTTGTGCTGTAGCACATAATATTAAGACACTACTTCCCTTGTTGCAGGAGTAAGTTTCTGCCCAGAGTGCAACAAGACAATCCAATACATAGACATCTTGAGGAATACCCTGT